ACCTTCATGACGCAGGGGTTCTCAGACTCTTTGACCACAGCCCCTGTCCATCAAACCACCGCCAGCCCAGCGCTGGCCCGCCCCGCCCTGCCAACATTAATATCATCTCGGTGACAGGAAGAGCAAACAGCAGATGAACGGACAGAAACAAGAAAAGGAGGCATCCCCTTCAGGCGGTAAAAACGCTGTGGTTCTGCCCCCATACCCATTTGGAGTTTGTTCTGATGGAGAACGCGAACCTCAAACATCTTTTTGAGAAAGGGGATGGGTGACAATAGCAAAATTGGGCTGTTATTGAAATAAAACAGAAAATATGCTAAACACATTATTTATGGCTCAGCACCCAGAAAACTACATTTAGATATCAATCATATGCTCTTAAAAAAAACCTGATTCTTAAAACTTTTAACTTCTGCAGAACAAAAGGCTCACCGATGACATTCCAACTTGTAACAATGTGTCAGTGGGAAACAAAAGTTTTTAATCTTCTCTAGACATAATTCCAGAATGTTTCATTTATCCAGATGCTAATTTTATATACTTTTGGTCAATACTTAAATGCTATATAAATGTATTTATAAAGCTCAATATTTTCATGCAAACTCTTTTAGGCATAGAGAACGCTTACTAATGACCAGTTATCTATGGCCCATGTTTAAAGAACCAGCTTAGTCTCTGTCCCTCTTTTTAATCTTCTAGCTGAAAACCAAACCGAAACCAAACCAAACCAAACCTGAATAACAGTGATGAACTCACCTGGGGAAATGCAGGAACCACAGTCTCTTGATTCTCTTGAATCCCTGGGGGCAAATATTTGGGTAAAAGAGAACAAAGCAATGAAGTGAGACAAGGTTCCCCAGCCTGGACAGCACGGGCACCGCGTGTCCTGTGCGCGGGCGACGCCGGCAGCCCCGTCTCCGGTCATCAGATACACTGCTCCGTCCCGCCCGCTCGGAGAGGGGAGTTCGCCCCGGCTGAGGCCACTGTTAGGAAGCAAAAGGGGAACAAAAGTCCAAAGTAAGACATTCATTTAGGGCTCTGACTCCT